CAGATTATCTGTCTCATGTTCTATTGTCAGGATATAGTAAAAAGTTTCAGCAAATATGATAAAAAATACCTACTGCAGCTTTAAATTATTAAATTTATTCCCATGTAAAGTAAATTTCTGACACTTGCTCATAGAAACCCATCTGAATTGTTTTAGTAGGTTTTTGAAGACGACTCAATGAGTGTGAACATGTATGACTTTGTCCTTTTTAAAAGTGATAATTAGTACCAGGAATGGCCAGGTTTCTGAGTGCGCTCAGTCCAGCATGTTGGACAGACACGTCTCCCTCGTCAACATGCTGCTCCAGCAGGGTCAGGATGTGAGGAACCACACCGAGGTCCAGCATCTTTACACAGTTGCTGTCTGACAGAAATATAGAAGGACAACAAACACGCCTTCAAAACCTGATCGCTGTGTTACATTGAATATACTGTTTCAAAGTAATCCCAGAACTTACTCAATGCTCAAAATAGTTATCCCTTTCTTTCTTTTTTTGACCAGTATCTCACCATTCCTGGCGAAGTTGGCGATGGCCAGAGCTCCGGACAGCTGCAGCTGGGTGTTGGAGCTCTGCAGCCAGGACAGGACATCCTGATACACCAGACCTGTTCCCTCTCCGAAACATTTCTGCATAGACTCATCTGACACACACACACACACTACATGTTACTGAGGTAAATCGCTAATAAAACAACACTGGTGCACCCATGTCAGAGATTTCTGATTTTAGGCGCAATACTCCACTACAAGTAAAAGTATATAAGAATAATCAGCAAAAATACTTGAAGTATCAAAAGTATACTCATTGTGCAGTAAATTGTTCCCTGTCAGTGTTTTACTACTATATCTGATGTTATATTAATATTACTGCTGCATTCATCTGTATGTTGCATTTAACTGCTGTAGATATCTGAGATTGAGCTCATTTGAACTCCTTCATGTTGATGATAATGAACTTTTCATCCTTCAGTTTATCAGAACAAGTCGCATTCAAAATCACTACATTTTGAGATTTGGTTTTCACTGGACAGAAAGGGTATCACAAACTGTAATCTGAAAAGTAACTAAACTAAAGTAACTAAAGCTGTTAGACAAATGTAGGGGAGTAAAACGTACAACATTTCCCTCTGAGATGTAATTTAGTTTTAGGTATAAAGTTGGAGAAAATCAAAACACTCAGGTAAAGTACTATGAAACTGTACTTAAGTGCAGTACTTGGGTAAATGTACTTAGTTATATTCTACCACTGCAGATGAATGAGGTGAAAGACAGACAGAGATACATTGAAAGGCAGATAAGGACTGACAGACTGACAGAATTGCTTGCACCGGCATCACTCACCTCCTAAAAGCAGAGACACTATGAGGTTAGAGGCGATTTTGATGCTGCACAGGTCGTGGGGGTCAGAGCCTCCCTGCAGACCCCGAATCATCTCAGATAAAGACTCTGGCACTCCTGACTCTGCAAACTGCAGCTTCAGTGTATCTGGTGGTACAGTACAAACTGGTAAGCTTTACTATTCGCTCTTCATACTAAATAAGTCTTTCATTTCCCTGCCTGAAGCACCCTGGAGGTCTTACCACTCTCGCCCAGTGAGCCCAGAATCTCCAGGATGACGTGACGGCGTTCGGCATCAGGCGCCCGTTTCAGTTGAAACGTCAGTACATCTGCCACGTCCTGCTCTGCCAGGGCATCCCGCGCAGAGTCTGCAAACACAGGGGTCTATAACTATAGACATTGTCAGTGGTAACTCATTATCCTGACTATCAGTTTAAGTCATCATACATCTGACATCTACAGCTGATTTCTTTTCTTGATGAGGGTTGATAGTTTAACTTTAAAGAGGTCACATCATGCTCATTTTCAGGTTCATATTTGTATTTGGGTGGTCTGCTATATGTGCTTAAGTGAAACACATTTTTTTTCTCATCCTCTGTTCTCCCATAAGCCTGAGCAGGCACCGGCCACTGTGTAGATTCACTAGTTTTCAGTTGGCGGTTCTGTGAGGTTTTATGGCAATAGGACTATGGATATGTAGACTTTGTTGTTTAAAACAGCGGCTGTGGCTCAGAGGCAGAGCGGGTCGTCCCCTAATCGGAAGGTTGTTG